GGAGTTGAGAGTGTCAAATATTTTTTTCTAGAATATCAATAGATGACTTCAAGGCAAAGAACGACTGTCAGAGGGTGAATGCGATTTAAATATGATGGATTTATAGCTGTGTAACTTTTAAGAATGCTATTTTCTTAGAGACGAGTAGATTACACTCCCCACAATCCTGTCCGTCTTTATCACTGACTACGCCTGTTTTCTCTCATCAAGATTAATGAATTCCGTTGCATACTATGGTAAAAGTCCAACAGATTTCGTTATGTCAGTGTTTATTCCTCTTTTTGGTAAAAGGATTAACATTTTTTTCTAAGACAGTCCTTTTATAGAAACTGTCTTTACACGATCTCCTTGTATAAGCTAACTCTTTAAATTGATTCAGTTTGCTTTATGTCTGCTTATTACAATTAGCTGACAATTGGCTGGCGGAAAATGCCACTCAATTTGCAATACGGAAATCTTGGCCTTCCTTATCGTTTTAATTCAGGGAAAATTTTCTTCCTGTGCTGTTTTTTTAATCCCGTCATTTTTTTTTCTGCTGCGGCGTTAAAACTTTGTTCTACTGCCTCTTCTCTGCAGTCCAATTTGCCAATTTGAGATATTTGAAGCTCATTTTCTAAACTTTGGTTGTTGTTCCATCTGGTGGTTCCGGAAATTATTGACCTCGGTTCTTGTTATTCCACTTCCAAAAGACTCTTGATCACATAGACATACCTCTTTCAGCCCAACTTTATTTACAATGTACTTTAACTTAATTTATGAAACCTTTCTTATTTTCTTTAATTATTTTATTTTTGTCACTGGGGACATTTTAAATTTAGTTTTAGGGGAAATCGGGAGAATTTCGTTTTTTTTCGTGAAGTTTTCTTCTAAACCCTTATTACCAAACAAACGAGGTAGACGCTCAGAAATATGACTTGTCTCTCGTATGTTTAGAAATATGCCATTATGCGTGCTTTTGGTATTGTTTGCTGCACTAGGCGGTTTCTATTTGTAATTATTTCTCAGTCCTCTTAGGTGGACTTCTGTTTTCCCCCTAGCGTTAGAGAGGTGGCACTTTTCTTCATTTTATAATCCATAAGTTTGCATTACTATTAACAGTACCTTTATAATAGTAACAAATTTGATTTAGCAATAGTTTATTCTGTAATGTAGGAACGTGAGTCATTTAGGTAACTCTAATCGAGGGGGTAGATGTGTGGTGTAGGTGTATCAGTTGGGTCAAAAAATTTATGTGATTTTATTAATGGAGGATCAATTTGATCAAAATGAACAGCTTCAGATTGTGAAGCGTAGTTTTCATTTACTTATTTGTTTTCGTTGGGACATTTAAAAAGTTTGAATCACAATGTATGAATGTGAGGTGTGCTAATTTGCCCCCCCCCCCTCCTCTGACGAGTGTCTTGTTTGAATATATTTAGAGACTTTGCTTTCTGTCGTGTATTTGGTGATGGAAAAGTACACTAGTTTCAGGAGCGAAATTTTATATTCATTTGCACTTTCACAGGCACTTATCTCACAAACCACTTTCAATTAGTTTGGTTGTAGCATTAGGAACCCCTTGGTTTTGAATTGCACAAATTTGAGGGTTTGCTCTAATTATTATTATTAATACTTACAGCCGATGCAAAAAACAAGACGAGCTTGAAAAAAACCTTTGTTCACGTTGTATTCACCTAATTAGACTGTCATTTCCTTAGAGTGACATTTAAATCGTACAATTTGAAAAAATTCTTTTGGTAAACATGACATTATTTTACAATTAGACGGTGCTGACATTCGCATAAATTCGTGTTCGTTGTTTGCGCGAGTTATATATGGTAATTTACTTTAAAAATATTTCAAATGTTAATTACTGCAAATCTTCATTTACGCAAGTAAGTCTTCGTCTCTGTGTATTGTGGGGGCTAATTAATGAATATTGGAAAAAGACGCATTATGTCCCCATGTTCATTTGAATAAATGCCTTGCCATCCTCCCTTAAATGCGCGTATCTGGCTCCTTGTCGTAGGTCTTGTCGTTTAACTGTCAAGCATATGTGCATAAATCATGTTTTCATGAACCCACTCACCTGATTGACAGGTTGGGAATGCTGAAATGGTGCTAGAATATTCTGTCATTCACAATCATACACTGGTTAGTGTTGATTTCGCTTACGGTATACGTTTTGTTGGAAGGAAATATTATCAATGCTGAAAAATCATCCTCAAGGCAGGAAAACTCAAACACATCAGGTAATGAGTTAACGTCACAGATAGAAGGCATTCGGCAATCCCTTTTGTGAGAAGTTAGTATTTTTTTCATCTTTTTGATCTGAGTTAGCCATCCTCTTTATGGTATAACATGCACTTCCATCTCGAAATTATTACTTTGACATTTTTTACTTGCACGTAACTGTGGGCCGTATAATCATTTATCTCTTAGAGCATTTCTTATGACGAATATTATGAGGAGCGTGGTCTGAATAAATTTTTAACATTTTCTGGATCAAATGAGATCCAATGAAAGAGTTTATCGATATTTAAGAAGTAAGTATAATTTCATTCCAGGTATCTCATTATTTTGTTCTACGTCCATTTTATCCTAATTCGTCTGGTGGCTTCTGTGCTGGTAGCTTAGTCTTCACCCAACTTCCAATCTCAAAGTTCCTTCAAATTTAGGAAACTCGCCAGTTACCAGGTTGCCAAATCAAAAGCGCATATTATTTGAAGTTCTTCTTAGTTCATAAATCCTCTTGGAAGGCATTCAATAAATTGTGTAGCCACCGGTTATTGAATGGTAAAAGCTCCTTCCCTCCAATATTCACCATCAGTGTCGACGCTTGTGTTTATATTTGCATACTTTTGGCCAATATTTCTGATGCGTTCTTATTTGTTCCTTACCTATTGGATGATTCTGTGCTGCAGCAGATTTATCTTTCGCCTTGCCTTTGGCTTTGGTGATAGTTTTCTTCCCCCCTCCTAAATCGCTAGCTGCTACGTAATTTCCATTGAATTCCTAATTCATGCTACTCTTACTTCTGCATTTTAATTTATTCACACCTTCTGTGCCCTCTCCTCACCATTGTACTTCTACTTCACTCTAGGTAAAATTTTCTGATCCACAAAGTTAGGAGTTGAAAAAAAACTGTGCTTTATTGAACTATAGAGTCAGCTTTTCACACGGGGCGCGAGTGATAAAATATCAAAAAATCATTAAAATTTTGGTTCTTTACTTCAATTATAGGTCTCCATTCAGTAATTGTCCTTTTCACAAACCGAAACATCCCAACTACTCAGCAGGGTGGGGGGGGGGGGGGGGGGTAGTTGTGATTGGTGGTTTTGCATCACAGTGTTGTATTTATTCTTGCATTTTGTTTAAGTAACTTTAACTTTCTCCCTCTAATTTCCCGGGAGTTTCTAGGTAATACTCATTTCAATTAGTATCCAGGGCAGTGTTTGTAATCATTCAACTACATAAGATAAGTATTCGGCGTCGTTTATTTCTTTTTGTAAATCATCGTTGAATTGGTTAATTTCTTCGGATGTTTAAGTAATTGCTCAATGTTTTATAAACGAATCAAAGAAAGAGGTCTCTTTAGTGGATTTCTTAGAGTAAAATTTGCTTTCTAGCATTCTCATACATTGTTTAAACGCTCTTATCGATTCTAATATGGAAATATATAATCTTGAGCCTTGTGTAAGAATTTGTGGTGTTTTAACGTCAATGTGGGTTTGTGTTTCTGTAATGAATCCTCCTCACATTATTTACAACTAAGCAATGCCCTTAGTTTGCCAATAGCTAGACTCGCGCTCTTGAACTTTCAAACATTCCGCAGTTGTCTTTTACCATTGTTCCGACTTGTCAACATATTTTCCCTCACACTAAGTTGAATCATGCCCTTTTGGTTTTCTATTCCAAAATCGTGGCATTTACCTGCTCTGGGATTTCTCAGATGCTCTTCTGTCCCAATGTTCCCCCAACGTAAACACTATTTTCGCTGATTTCCTCAGATCTTTTAGAGAAACTTCAAGCTCTTTGGTTGTTTAGTCTAGAATCATGATGATCTCCGTCTCCCAAGTAATCGGATTATTATATGTGAACACGATGATATAAACACAGGATAAGTTAAACGAGATTGAGTGAAGCATTTAACAACGGTGATGCCATACACATGTACTTGCTGCGAAATACTTGATTAACGTGCCTTGGCATTATCATTGATATGTCAGCGGATTTAATCCCAAAATCGTGTGACGATTTACGATGATAGGAGTAATAATTGTACCAGTGGATGATTTATTTGTCTCTACACGAAGGAGAATGAGTCATGCGTCTGGCATGTTTTCGTCCCACTTTCCTCCCCATGCTCATTTTAGGTATCAAATTGCCAATGTCTATTTGCTTCAATTCCTTAACCAAATTTCTTATTTGAAAATAATGTGAGGTAATTTTCCCTAAAATTCGTGATTACTTTGAGCTCCTGAGGTGTCCTTGATAAAATAATGGACTGATTTTGTGGTTGTCGATATGCAAGAATGCGAATGCTTACTATGATTAAACGTATTTGCTGAAAATACGAATTTCTCATCATCTAAACTGGCACCTGCACTCAAAGCAAAGTATTTTATTAAGACCTCCTCCTAGAAACAGTTAATAAGTTGTCTGAAGTTTTTTTGCGAAAATCGACTAACTACTTCAAGCTAAAAATCGTCTGTAATGTTGCCGGTATTTCTTGTTAAATGAAAATATTTGCTTTTTTTGTCAAGACTTAACGAAGGGTAAAGTCGGAAGTATTGTCTAAGATTCTCACATTATATTTTATTCCCATTGTTACTTAAGATATTTTTGAAATTTTTTTATTGAAAATCCATTAGAGTATATGCATAAACATGCGTAAAATATGTTTTAGGGAAACTTTAGCTCCAAGATAAGTTTACTCCCTTGTAAAAATAGATTGTTTAACTAGTACTACTTGAATATTGTTAGTAGACATGTGTTAATTGATTCTTTGGCTTGCAGCCATGAAGCCACACGAAATACAGGAAAAACTGCGACTTACCCAACTGCAACCAGGACGCGTGTGGTATGTACAGCCCTCAAATGCAACAACTGGTGAAGGTCTGAAGGAAGGTCTCAACTGGCTCAGCAAGAACCGAAAACGATGAATATACCCAGTGTGTCGTAGGCACTCCTTCCTCTGTGATGCCCTTCCTCGCCATACCCACTCCTTCCGTATTAATCCATGTTTCCACCCCTTCATGATCACCATCATTTTCATAATTGTCGGCTCTTGTTCATTTTGTGTGATTTTTAAGGAAAACACAACTGATTTCATATTATATTAACACTGCTTCTCGGCATTCTTTAACGGCACTGCTAAACAGCCACCAAATCGTAATTTCCCCTTTGACCTGCATTTCTAACAGGATTTTTGCCTTCTCATCATCTATCAATTTGTTGTTTATGTGTGTATTTGCACGTTTTGGATAATAATTTCCCTTCTCTACTCCTTCCATGTATACTTAATTTCATTTAAGTAATATGTGCATGCGGCAAGTCAAGCTGTACATTGTATATTTTTCCTACCAGTAAGATTATTACCACTGCTACCTTGCTTCGTTTCATTTCAATCCTACCGTACCTACTCATTCCCGGTCCTTTTCATTTTCTTTCGACTAAATGACCAACTAACTGGTGTTTAAATGCGTGCTTATTATCCCTTTCCCAAGTTGATGCGTTGCCACAGTGCAGTATACTCTGTGACAGTTTACTAGGATTGTTTGCATAATAAAGCTGTGCTTTGGAAATTCTCGATTGCTCTCCTCTTGGATAAACTAAAATCCTGGCAAAATCAAGCCTCCGGGTTCCGTTAATCTTGAAATGGTTAAACCTCCACCACTAACGGAACTAATTTGTTAGCCCTTTCTGTCCCATTTTAGAAGAAGGTTGACCTAATTCATAGAGAATGTGCTTGTTTTGAGGGATTTTGAGGGAGGGGGTTTCTATAGTTATATACTATATAAAGCTGAATTTTGAACAGGCCCTTTTTTCATCATGCAATTAAAGGAATACCTACTGATAATTTTAATCTTAGACGCAAAGTACATTCAAGTTACTATAACTGGCAGCTAACAGCATCAATCGGTAGTCTGGAAACTTAGTGTGAAGTCCAGGGTGTTTTAAATCAACTACGGTGAATACTCGAGAGTGTAAGTTGAGGGGGAAAGGTGATGAGAGGGAAGCGCACGAGATGACAACTGGCAATCGTGTGGAAATGCAACGTCAGTTTCTACTTGTCACTTGGATATAGACACGAGGAAGTGGAAGAGTGTAGACTCACTTTTACATGAAATGGGCACTTAGAGAAAAAATGAGATTCGATACACTTGTCTAGACATGAAGGATAATGCTTTAAGTTATAGTGTGATAGAGAAGAGAAATCATAAAATACGAGACTTTGGGTGTACTTGTCGTACATGAACAGGAATTTTTCCCTCACATTTTTTTGTGGCTAGAGATCAAGTTTTAATATCTTAGAGTGACATTTTGATTAGCTATTCCAAAAATCGATGTCGTGGAATAACGAGAATTGAAGACATATTGATTAGAACCTTGAAAGGCTCTGTATAGCATAAATTAAGGAGTGAAATGTTGATAAATGGTTTTAATTTTGAGCCCTAAATGCTCCGCTCCAATCCATAATCTTTTATGAGAAAGATTATATTAAAAGATAACAGAAGGGAAGTAGGAACTCTCTTCTGATTTTATTGGTATTCATATTTGAATTATTAGTAACAATGAAAATGCGATAAAATATGTGACAGTTTGAATAAACATGATAACATCTGAACATGCAAAATGGTGAAAATATAGAAGGGAGTAAAATGGAAATTGAATAGAGATTTAAATGATGCCAAATTGAAATAGTTTTGTTTTATTTGATCTCTGAAAGTTTTGGGTTGTCCACTTTCACACATTGCCTATTATTCACTACGAAATTACATATATTTCATTAGTTAATCCTTCTGTTTCTAATAAGTTTATTCTAATGATTTAAATGAATAACACGCCTATTAACATTAACATATAGGTGAAGGGAGAAAATCACTTAAGACAGAGAAGAAACCTTAAGTTGATCAAAGTTTTCATACAGTTTTAATATTTATTTATATTAAATGGCAGGCTTTATGATAGTTATCATTAGCCCTTTAGCTGACTTCGGGCATCACAGAGGGGAAGGAACATCAAAGTGAAAAAAAGTCAAAAGAGTGGGGGGGGGAGAGCAGAAGAGTGTTTCAAGGATGTAAAAGAGACAGACACAAA